AATCAAAGGCGCTAGTTATAAAAATGCGCTAATAAAAATCTTCGATTTTTATAAGCGCGGTTATAAAAATCTTTTTATTAGCCGCGCGTAGCGCATTTTTATAACCGCGCGGACCCGCAAAAAATCGAAGGCGCTTATAAAAATCGGGCTACGCTTATAAAATTGTAGGCGCAGGGGGGCGCCCGGGCGGAGCCCAATTTTATTAGCGCAGGCGCAGGCGCATTTTTAATAATAGCCGCGCGTACGCGCTGAATATTATTATACTACATCAATTAAAATTAATGAGGATAAAATACTAGAAGAGGAATTTGAGAAAGATATAGAAGAAGTAAAAAAGAAGATAGATAGCATGAAAAAATATCTATCAGATAGTGCAAAAGGAAAACTAATGCTAGAACAACTAGTACTACAATATAGTACATCAGGGAAATCAGTTACAGCGAATTTTATTAATTATGTTTGTCTAATTCCACAGAGTCTACCAACAATTAATGAAAAAGAACTATCGCGCGTAGCGCCTACTAAAAACTGTACCACAATCCATTTTTTATAAAGATCGGCGGAATATTACTAGTATTATTGAAAATGAAAAAAATCCTACATATGGAGTTTATATTTGGACTAATCTTATTACTAAGGAGGTATATGTTGGATCTCTATTAATCTATATAAACGACTACGTTCTTATACTTATTTTACTAATAAAAAAGAGGTCAATCATCGTAATCGAAGTATTATTTGGAATATGCGGTTATAAAAATCTTCGATTTTTATTAGCCGATAGGCGCGCGTACGCGCCGGCGCTAATAAAATTCCCTTTACTAGTGGGCGAAGCCCTATAACGACGCGCCTAAAATTTTCTAAGCGTAGCGCATAGGGGCGTAGCCCAGGCGCGGGTTCCACCGCGCAAAATCTTTGCGCCTGGGCGTAGCCCCTATCTCCGGCGCAGAGCGCGCCTACGGCGGCGCGGGTTCCACCGCTAATAAAAATATTCGCTTCGATTTTTATAAGCGCGTACGCGCCTTCGATTTTTATTGCGTAGCGCCACCCTTTCTAATTACAGTATATGTTCTACCTATTAATAAGTATAATAATGTTGCGCCTATTAAGGAAAAATCTTCGATAGGGCTACGCCCGGCGCGGCGTCTACTAAAGATTCGAGACTCTCTTAGTCTAGAACGCGGAAAGCATCTAATTACTACTCTAAAACCTAAACTTAATACACTAAAAGTAGCTGGATCTTCTTTTGTTAATACTAAAGAAAATCTAACTAAAGAAGAGCTAACAACGACTAGTTTTACTCCTTCTGTTAATTCTTATCTTTATAAGCGGAATAAAAATCGAAGGCGCTAGTTATTAGGGGGGGCGAAGCCCAGTAAATTTTATTAGCGCTATGCGCAAAATCGAAGGCGCGGTCTTCTTATCTATTCTGCTGTATCTTTTAATGCTATGGCTATTCTATTTGGTATTAGTGCAGATACTCTTTTCGTAAATAAACGGGAAGGTACTAAAATGTTTGGACTATTTAATGTATCTACTGAGACTCATTCTTCTGATACAATAGTTGAACTACTTAATATCTCTACAATTAAAGAAGGAATTCGAAAAGAGAAAGAAGAATTCGTTACAAAAAATGTTAATAGTCAACAGACTATTGTAGAAAATACTATTACTGGTGAAACCTTTGTAGTTGATTCTATGGCTAAAGCTTCACAACTTACTAAAGATAAAGAACCAACACGACCGGGGCGCTACGCGCGCCCTCCAAATCTAGTATTCGAACTGCTATTGCTAATGGTAAAACAGTAAAAGGATGGAAATTTAGTACTACTAAACCTTCTACAATTTAACACGGTAGCGCACCCCTATTTTAAGTATTCTAGTAACTATTCTCTATTCTTTTTTTTATCGATCTTCCAGAAGCTGAGTCAGAGCTAGTTGCTGGTTTCATGACTGAGCACTCAGGTATGATTTTTGTATTCTTCTTCCTAGCTGAGTACGGAAGTATCGTTCTAATGTCTACTTTTACAGCAATTCGGTGGATACAATATGTCACCTCAAGTACTATTTGCTGAGGATTCATTTATCAACCTACAAAGTATTGCACTAGCAGTTAAAGCAGTTCTAATTATGTTCCTATTTATATGGATCCGTGCTACACTGCCGCGAATGCGATACGATTCTCTAATGGTTTTCTGTTGGACTGGACTTCTACCAATTGCAATCTCACTTCTTATTCTTGTACCAAGCCTACTAGTTGCCTTCGACATCAGTCCTTATTAATTAGTAGTACCAAAAAAATATTCTGCGCGTACGCGCCTATTTTTGCCGCTTATAAAAATCGGGTTATAAAAATCGAAGGCGCGTCCGCGCTTATAAAAATCGAAGCGTATATTTTTATTAGCTACGCCCGATTTTTATAACTATGCGCCGAAGATTTTAGGCGCTTATAAAAATAAGGCGCGTCCGCGCAGGGCTACGCTTATAAAATTGTAGGCGCTTATAAAAATCTTCGATTTTTATTGGCGCAGGCGCAGGCGCCTTCAACTAAATGAAAAGAATCTTCGGGCTTCGCCCCCCCTACAAGCTAAATTTCGACAAGCTGAACTAGCTAATAATACTCCTAATACTCTAGCTGACACTAGCAGTGGTAACAAGGATTATCCTATTCATTCTCCTTTTGAGGATACGCCGAAGGCTTCTACTAATTTTGTAACTTCTATCTATGATTATCTAGTTAATTGGATGAAATTCCATGATGCTAGTCGATGTCCATCTAACACAGATGTAAGTCAACTGGATTGCGTTTCTAGTGATGGAATCTCAATGTATTCTTTTTTTACTACCCCGCGCCTGGGCGTAGCCCCTATTGGAAATTTTCTAAGCGTAGCTGCGCCTATAAAAAATATTCTATTTTTGCCTACGGCGGCGCCATCTAAGATTTTTATAAGCGCTAGCGCCTATTTTTTCTTTTATAGGCGCATTGTTTATATTCTGTTTACAGTGACACGTACTTTCTAACTTTACACTATTCTTTATTAGCTATTTTAGCAAAAATATTACGTCATGGCTAGGTAAAGTTAGTAAACTTTTTTCAGGGCAAAGCGAAACTGACCTGAAAACTGTAGAGTTCAATAAATCACTAGGCATTTCAATTAACAAAGTGGTTATTGTTTGTCTTTTTGTTATTCTTCTAATTCTAAGTATGATTCTTTATAATTACTATACTATTTCTAGCTATTTTTATAGCCGCGCCAAAGGCGCAGTGAAATTCTGAAAGCTAAATATAATACATCTATAGAGGTTCCTATTGATATAACTATTCTTACTCTTCCACTTCCAAAAAGCAGCTCAGCTTGTACTAGGAATAGCTTTTGGATTTTATCGTACATATCTTCTTGTTCGTACACGTCTAACTTTAAAAAACCTCTTCTAGGGATTACTATTATCTATTACTTCCATGAAATTAGTGATTATATCCTGAAAGTCGTACTAGTAGATAATGAGACTACAAATGATATTCCATTCATCAAGATGTGTGAAGCATGTAATGCGTCTACCAAGCTACTATTTTACTCACTACTTGTCGTGCTAATTTCCGTAACACTTCAAAACACTATTTACTTCTTTAAGAAAAGTGTTATCAGTCCTAATATTATTCAACCTAATCTAAAAGAAGAAAAACAAGACTATAATAATCAGTACCTGGGCGAAGCCCATAATATTCTAGTAATCTTCCTAAAAATTAACACATCGGTGCATTTCATGGTATTCTATACCTTTTTACACACTATATTCCAATAAGTTAATATAAACCTTATTACTCCCCGGCTATGCGCCTAATAAAATTTACAATTTTATAAGCGTAGCCCTATCGAAGGCGCGTCCGCGCTTATAAAAATCGAAGCGAAGATTTTTATTAGCGGGTTATAAAAATCGAAGGCGCGTCCGCGCTTATAAAAATATACGATTTTTATAAGCGCGTTAGCGCAAAAATAGAAAGAATATTTTTTCTTTTATAGGCGCAGCTACGCTAATAAAATTGGGCTCCGCCCCCGCCGTAGGCGCGCTCTGCGCCGAATATTTTTTATAGGCGCCGAATATTTTCTTTAAAAAAGAATGCGCTGGCGCTATAATGTTCAGGATACCCACCATGTTTATCTTATTATAGTTTGTGTAAATAAGCCATCTTTTATAGCGCTTTTATATACTGCCTAATAAAATCGAAGTTGAAGGCGCGTACGCGCGGCTAATATATTCATTAGTGGCCGTCATAATAGCGACAAGGCATATAATTCCTACGGCGCACGCCCCTACGAAAATAATTAGGTTCACTTATTCTTAGTACATAATAGTTCGGGTCAATAAAATGCGCCTAATAAAATTTACAAGTAAATTTTATAAGCGTAGCTAATAAAAATCTAAGATTTTTATAAGCGCGGACGCGCCTTATTTTTTATAGGCGCGATTTTATAGGCCCATTGTTAAACGCATTTATTTATGACTAGTTTAAATAATAAAGGTTTATAAAGGAATATAAATATTTACGGTTATAAAATCGAAGGCGCGTCCGCGCAGGCATAGTATAGTTGGTTAGTATACTGCAAGTTTCTTTCTTTATATAAATATATATTTATTTAAGGAGGTTCGAAAATTCCTTATTTATTATTCTACTTTACTTTTTTAGACTTTTTATGTTATTAATAACGCGCCGCCCTAGAAAATTTCAAATAAATTTGCCGCTTATAAAAATGCGCTACGGAATGCGGTTATAAAAATCTTCGATTTTTATTAGCCGTAGATTTTTATAGGCGCCTATAAAGGAAAAATATTCGGCCGCGCGTTAGCGCAAAAATATTCGGCGCTACGCGCATTCCGTACGCGCCATCGAAGATTTTTATAACCGCGCCTACGGCGGCGCATTTTCTTTAGCGCCAGCGCTTCTTAAAAAAAGAAAAGAATGCGCGGTATAGATCTAGTAAAAGCCGCGCTACGCGCGCGGGGAGATATTACAATTGGTTAGTATACTTCCTTTGCAAGGAAGCTGATGCAGGTTCGAGTCCTGTTCTCTCCACACAACAGTGTAATTATAAAATGTTATACTGTTGTACTATCTAATTTCATTTATATAAAAAACTATGTTAAAAATCCTAATCAAAAAAAAATCACAATTATTTCACTTATTTCTAACGATGGTGAACGCTCCTACCGAATCACTTTTGTAGATTTTATTCTAAGTGTAATCCTTATTTATTTCGCTCTACAAATGTATGATACTATTACTATGTTTCTAGCTTCCGATATAAATGTTTACATTGAGGATAAAGTTGTAGTTAAATCACTTACATATACTATGACTACTCTTCTTATTTCTACTAAAAATGGTTTGTAAGACCCGAAATTAGTAAAGCTCAACAAGAATTTACAAAAATGTATGAGCCCACTCTAGATAAAGATAGTGATCTGTATAAATTTCTAACTAAACATTGTAAATATCTACTACTACCACTAGAAGGTGCCTTCGGCGTCCGATTTGTCTAAATCTGCGCGTACGGGGGCGTAGCCCTATCGAAGATTTTTATAGCCTGCGCCTGCGCCAATGCGCGGTTATAAAAATCTTCGATTTTTATTAGCCGAAGATTTTTATAAGCGCCTTTTACAAGTAAATTTTCTAAGCGTAGCTAATAAAAATATACGGGGCGGAGCCCTATAAGCGCGGACGCGCCTTATTTTTTATAGGCGCCTTCGAGAAGAAATTTAACTAGTTAAATTTATTAGGCAGCAGATAACTCCTATTTATTATATTACTGACAAAAAAGTTGCTCCCTCTTTTTTTTTATTAAAAGGCGCTTACGCGCGGGCGGTACTAATTTTGTTGGTAAGTCTATGGGTATCTATATTTTTAGTGTAGATAGTAGTAATCTATCTACTATGTATATTGGTAGTAGTCGTTCACTAACAACACGACCACTATATCATTATACTAGTTCTCTAAATCCAAATATTTCAAGTGATTTCTATCTATTTATTAAATCACAAAGAGGTATCCTAAATATTCAATATCGAGTTCTACACTCAGTTCCAAAGTTATACAGATAGCCCGCCGATAGGCGCGCGTAGCGCAAAATCTTCGGCGCGTACGCGCGGCCGCCGTAGGCTATAAAAATCTTCGGCTGCGCGTACGCGCCAATATTTTTATAACCGCGCATTCCGTAGCGCCGAATATTTTTTATAGGCGCCTTCGATTTCGTTCTTTTTTTTTGCGCTCCGCCTCTTTTTTGGCTTGGCTTTTATTAAAAGGCGCTTACGCGCGGGGCGGTGTAATATAATAATTCTATCCCGGGCCCCTTCGGGAAACAGGCAAAGCGCGGCTTTTTCTAGTTTTTATGTAGGAATTCTAGAACAAGCACAACTTTCTCATTATAAGCGCCTATAAAAATCGAAGGCGCGGTCTTAATAAATCGAAAGTAGTAAAATTCCCGCGCGTAGCGCATTCTTTGGATGAAAAAACATGGTACAGTACCGCCCTATAAAAAGTTTATCGATAGGGTTACACCCGGCGTAGCGCAAAATCTTTGCGCCTATAAAGGAAAAATCTTCGATTTTTATTGGCGCACCCGCGCAAAATCTTCGATGAAGATTTTTATGGCGTAGCGCGGCGCGCGTAGCGCGGCCTCTTCGATTTTTGCCTATCGGCGGGCGGAATCACATTCTAAAAACTAAAAAATCTTAATGTAAATACTAGCAATAATTTTGATTTTTCTATCTATTATGATTATTGTAATTGGAAAGGTATTGAACCTCTATCAGTAGATTGGCTAGAATATATTCTCGGATTTACTGAAGCACGAGGGTCAAACGATGGAATAAAGATAGTCTTGAGTTTAGCTATTGCCCGCGCGGAGCGCAAAATCTTCGATTTTTATTCCGTGAGCGCCTTTTAATAAAAATAAAAAAAAAGAGGCCCGCGCAAAAAAGAAAATAAAAAAAAAGAGGCGGAGCGCGGGGCGCTACGCGCGCCCCTTTTTATAAGGCGATCGGAAAGACGTTGAGTATCTACAAGTTCTAGTAGACCTTCTTGATCTAATAGCACTAGTTAATAAAGAGTACAATCGACTTACTATTAATGATCTTTCAGATCTAGAAATTATTCTATCTCTAACTAAGGTGAACGCTACCTTCTGGTAACCTGCTATCTACTAAATTTCTGACTGAATTCCTTACTTATATTAAAAATGGTACTATTTCTAGTTCTATTATTTATAATAAAGGTGCTGTGACTAATAATAATGCGCTACGCGCGGCTTATAAAATTTCAAGGAGCAGGCGCGGGGATGGTTATAGTATGTTTTATTTTACTGTTATTACTAATAATTCTGTTAAAGGTCTAAATATTCTGCGCTGGCGCGACTGTAATTAAGATTACTTGTTCTAGTAGTGAACTTGCAGATTGCCCTCCATTTAGTCGTATTTCTACCCCATATATTGTACAATTTACTAGTATTAAAGCTGCACTATCTATGCTAAATTACCTAGAATAATATCCACTTCGTATTAAGCAAGATATTCAGGTATGGTTCCAAGACATTATTAAACTAATTGAAGCAGGTGAACATCGATCTACAGACCCTACAGTATTTAATAATCTTAAGAAACGAATTAAAGAACGACCGCGCGTAGCGCAAAATCTTCGATTTTTATTCCGTAGCGCAAAATCGAAGGCGCTACGCGCATTCCGTAGCGCAAAATCGAAGATTTTTATTCCGTAGCGCAAAATCGAAGGCGCTACGCGCATTCCGTAGCGCAAAATCTTTGCGCATAGCGCGGGTTACACCCGCGCAAAATCTTTGCGCCTGGGCGTAGCCCCTATCTTCGGCGCAGAGCGCATTCCGTAGCCCTAATAAAAAGCGCCAATAAAAAATAGAATATGGCGCGTACGCGCAGGCGCCGATTTTTATAACGGAGCGCCGGCTAATAAAAATATTTTTATAACCGCGCGGGTTACACCCGCGCAAAATCTTTGCGCATAGCGCGGGTTACACCCGGCGTAGCGCTAATAATAATAAATTACCTACCCCTCTAATGAAGGTGAACGCTAATAATATATTCCGGTAGGTACTGATAAAGTAGAAAAAAATTACCACCCAGTCAAATATAAATACATAAAACTACGTGTTGGGATAAATAAAGTAGGTAAAGTAGGGAAATTTTAGATAGTAGTATTTATAGACTATATAGGAAACATAGTAAGAATATGTAGAGAAAGGATGAAGGATGGGAGACAGGTTCGAGTCCGGGCCGCCGATAGGCTATAAAAATCTTCGGCTGGGCGTAGCCCTAATAAAAAGCGCCTGCGCGTAGGCGCCTTTTACAAGTAAATTTTATAAGCGTAGCCCTATAGAAGGCGCGTCCGCGCTTATAGGCGCCGATTTTTATAACGGAGCGCAAAGATTTTTATAACCGCGCATTCCGTAGCGCCTATAAAAAAATTTTATTGAATAAAAAAAAAAGAAGGCGCGGAGCGCATAAAAATATTCCATTTTTTCGCGCCTTATTTTTCCTGCGCGTAGCGCTTTCCGGAGGGGCGCGTAGCGCATCGAAGATTGGGCTCCGCCCTTCTTTTTCTTAAAAAGAATGCGCATTAGAAAAATTAGCAAAATAAGTAAATTACTTTTGCGCGAACCGCGGTCCATATAAGAAGATATTGGATTCTATATGGACTCTTAATATTTGCTTGTATATTTCAATTGTATACTATATGTAAAATGTATATAAGCCTCAATAGCTTAGATGGTAGAGCATAGAACTGAAGCTTCTAACGGATTGGTTCGATTCCAGTTTGAGGCATTTTTATTTTATAGAGTGGCTACTTATAAATAAAAATTTTGTTAAGTAGATAGCGCTTATTAAAAAAACAATTGAATTTTATTAAAAAGAGATACGCGCGTAGCGCACAAAAATGAATTTATTTTTAGAAAGATATTTTGCGCGGATAAAAAAACAAAAATAGTCGCGGCGCAAATTTATAACAGAAATTGATTAGCCAGCAGATAACTCCGCGCCTGCGCGTACGCGCCTTTTACAATTTTATAAGCGTAGCTAATAAAAATCTAAGATTTTTATAAGCGCGGACGCGCCTTATTTTTTTGCTCTTATTTCATTTTAGCATATTTGCATGTTAATCATATTCATAAAATTGTATTAATCTATTTAATACAATGACCAACAATGTAAACAGATTGTTTATATATATAGGTATAATAATAAGTAAAGGGCCAGGCCCTTTATGTAAAACAATGCAGATATGCTCTATTGGTTGGGGCGGTGCTCTGTAAAAGCATTGGCTATATGCCGTGGTGAGTTCGAATCTCACATCTGTAATTCTCTTTCATTTTTCCTAGCGCCTTACAAAATTTCACAACTATTCATTTCATAATAAAATAACAAATTTTATGCCCGGGCGAAGCCCTCCCTTCGGGAAACAGGGCGTACTAATTTATAGGTTGTATTTTCATTTATTACTAAATTAATGTAGTTTATGGCTATGGCTCAATATAATAAAATGTAATAGGGGCGCCCCCCCACTATAGCACTAGATTCTTTATTCTAGATATATCCGCTAATAAAAATCTTCGATTTTTATAAGCGCGTACGCGCAATCGAAGATTTTGCGCTCCGCCATAAAAATATTCTGCGCGTACGCGCGCGCTAACGGAATAAAAAATAGAAGGCGCGTACGCGCGCGCTAACGGAATAAAAAATATTCTATTTTTGCGCTAACGGAATAAAAAATATTCTGCGCGTACGCGCGCGCTAACGGAATAAAAAATATTCTATTTTTGCGCTAACGCGCGGCGCATTTTTTTGTAGATTGTTTTTCTAGTAAACTTGCGCTGGACGTCTGGTCCTTTTATTAAAAAAGAAAAGACATTAATACTATAAATAATACTTTATCTATATTGCTGCGCGTACGCGCGGTTAATTATTTATAGGGCGGTATATATTATATATATATAGTAAATTATATGAGTATACGGACGCGGGGAGATTCGAACTCCCGGTTCTCGGGTGAGAACTCCTAGACTCAAGCCAGGTACATTAAACCACTCTGTCACACGTCCATTCTAATTAGCTATATCTATGTGTGGGCCGCAAATTTTTTAAAATTTGCCTACGGCGGGCTATAAAAATGCGCTACGCGCTAATAAAAATATAAGATTTTTATAAGCGCGTACGCGCCATCGAAGATTTTTATAATCGCGCATTCCGTAGCGCCTATTTTCTTTCAGAAATGGACCGCAAATCGAAGATTTGCGCTACGGAATAAAAATCGAAGATTTTTATAGCCACTATTTTATTATAGGATTAAGCCTTTTATACGGCGCCCTAATAAAATATAGATTGAAATTTTACATTTCTTTTTTATTTCACTATGATATATAAATATATTTCCTATATATAGTTACTTGTATAGGAATCGGTAAGCGTAATTAAAAAGAAAGCAGTACAAACGACGTCTATAAAATCTTTTTGTCGCTAATATAATCGAAGATTATATAAAGCGCATTGTCGCGAGTTATAAAATATACTGTTTTATTAGACTGCTTTTCTTATCTTAATTTTCTTGCCTTATTAAGCAATCAAATAATTTATTATCAATTAATATAATAAATAAATACCGCGCGGGGCTCCGCCCAGTAAATTTTATAAGCGTAGCTAATAAAAATATACGATTCGATTTTTATAAGCGCGGACGCGCCTTCGATTTAAATAACGTACGCGCCGATTTTTATAGGCGCATTATATAGCAAAATTTACTAATCCCCGCGCGGGGATAAGAAGACATCTAAAGAATTTGTGCAAATTAATCTACAGTTTAAGTTACTGACGCTAATAAAAATAGAATGCGCGTACGCGCATTATTGGGCGAGGCAACTTAATTTTAGATTATAGAGCGTTATACTAAACTATTTTATTAATAGTAAGTAGTTTAGTAGCCAGTACATAAATTTATAGAAATTTGTAATGGTGCTTTCTTCGTCATTTAATATAATAAAATAATTGCAGTATTTACAGTTATAAAAGTGGAATATTTTTCGGCTCGATCTTTTTAATGTACACACTGTTTTTATTTGTATATCTACTTACTTTCTAGTTTAATTATTACTAAATTATTCTCCAATTTTCATTAGAAATATAGTTATTAGTATATATATTAATAATAGTTAAGCATGCAGATAATATATAAATAGGAAGTTTTCATTTAATTACTTACTTTTATTATTGCTTATTATATAAATTTATACAGTAATGCGCCGCGCGTTAGCGCAAAAATAAGGCGCGTCCGCGCTTATAAAAATCGTAGATTTTTATTAGCTACGCCTAATAAAATTTCCAATTTTATAAGCGTAGCCGCGCAAAATCGAAGATAGGGCTACGCTTATAAAAAGGGGCTCCGCCCAGTAAATGGCGCCTACGCGCTTATAAAAATCGAAGATTTTTATTAGCGGTATATTATTGATATATGAAAAAGAATTCTTTTAATATAGAAACATTAATTATCTATTTAATATAATTAATGTATCGCACTGTTGGTTTGTATTAATTATAACGCGCGTACGCACCTATTTAAAAATAATAGCTTTAGCTAAGTACTATAAATAGGAATATAGATTATGATTAATGTATCCAGCTAAATTAACATCCTTTTGCGAAGATAACACAAAAATAACAATGAACACACAAAACACAACACTATCACGAACACAATTTCAATTTCAGCCATTCCATCTAGTTACACCTAGTCCATGGCCACTACTAACATCATTTGCACTTCTAATCCTAACTTCAGCTGCAGTAATGTACTTCAACGGTTACGCTAACCCTCTAGGTGGTTCAGGAGCTCTACTAGTTGGAATCGGGCTAGCAACAACAGTTGCTGCTATGGCTCTATGGTTCCGAGATGTAGTAGCAGAAGGAACATTCCTTGGAGATCACACAATTCTAGTACAAAAAGGAATTACTATGGGTGTTGCCCTATTTATTATCTCAGAGGTATTCTTCTTTATCTCTGTATTCTGGGGTTTCTTTCATTCTAGCCTTTCTCCAACTGTGGAACTAGGTTCACAGTGGCCTCCTGTTGGTATTGCAACTATTAATCCGTTTGAGCTACCACTGCTTAATACGCTGCTGCTTCTATCTTCAGGTGCTACTGTAACATATTCTCACCATGCTCTTATCCAAGGAAATCGACGTGCAGCAATTCTAGGACTAGTTATGACACTAGTATTTGCTGTACTATTTACAATTTGCCAAGGAATTGAATACTATAACGCACCCTTCACTATCGCAGATGGAGTGTACGGAAGTACATTCTTCTTTTCAACTGGAACACACGGAATTCACGTTATTATCGGTACTACCTTTATAGCAGTAGCCTTCTTCCGAATGCTAAGTTACCACCTAACAGATAACCACCATCTTGGTTTTGAGGCGGCAATTCTATACTGGCACTTTGTCGATGTAGTTTGGCTATTCCTATTTATTTCTGTTTACTGGTGGGGAAGCTAGTAAACTAAATATTCAAATTATTGGGCTCCGCCCCCCCCCCCGCGCAAAATTAACTCAAGAAGTAGTACATTGAATAAATAGCTCCATATAATATAGAATATTTATACTAACAATTCAATAACCCGCGCCTTATAATAAAAAGGTATTCACGTATAGGAGAGTTGAGATAATTGAATTAATTAAAATAGAATTTAGTAGGGGGGCGAAGCCCTAATATACCATAGGGCTGCTTATATTTACAGAACGCACTGAATACACATTCAGTATATATCTAGTACTAAAGAAGTACTAAAGAATGCGCTAATAAAAATCGAAGGCGCGTCCGCGCATTGGCGCGTGTTATACTCTAAGAAAACTAGAATAGAAAATATACTTAAAATAATGTACTAAGTATTATTTACTATATCACCTAGTTTTTCGTTATTAAATATTAATATGAATATGAGAAGTATGCAACCTATGCTAAAGGAACTAATTAATGATCCTAATACACCACGATGTATTGCAGAGCTAGTATCACGACTACTATCAGATACAACACAACTAGTACAAGTAAAAGAGCTGACACCTCAGGCACTAAAAGCTCTTCAAACACTAATCGATATGATTAATTCACTACCCCGCGCGTAAGCGCCTAGATTTTCTAAATAACTATGTAAAATATAGTGTAACACAGGGGGCCGGTCTTGATGGGAAAATTATGTAGGGGCTTCGCCCAGTGTAGAATATTTTAGTCAACCTCTTAAATATTCAATGAGTGTATATTCTTCAGTATATTGTCTATCTGGTATTACAGATACACGAAATTATTATATAGGATCAGCTAGTAATACAGTAAATCGAATAGGTCAACATCGGGATTGTCTATTTGGTAATCGACCAAAAGAATCTGTACATATTCGACTACTTGAATCATTTAATGCAAGTGATCTAACATGGAGTCTATTTTATACGCCACAGGCGACTAATTATTCTAAAACAGCTCTATCAGTACTACCTAGTTCATATGAACTTAGTTTTGGTGAAATGAAAATTCTACGTGCTATTACTGAATTTGTACCACGTATTCTTGAACAAAGTCTTATTACTGAACGCCGCAGGCACCTTCTCTAAATCATATTCTTAATCCTGTAGTATTTACTTATAATGCGCCGCGCGTTAGCGCAAAAATATTCTGCGCTACGCGCATTCCGTTAGCGCAAAAATATTCTGCGCTACGCGCATTCCGTTAGCGCAAAATCGAAGGCGCGTCCGCGCATTGGCGCGGGATCCTAGTCTACTTAGTGTGTATGATTATGCTACAGATGGTAGTCATGCCGTACAAATTATTAGTGCAGAAACAGGATAAATTCTTCGTAAGAAAATTTCTTCTATTAGTCAAGCATGTGATATTCTAAATATTAGTCGGCGCTACGCGCGGCTAATCGTTATCTTAATAATGATTACGGATTTTTCAGTGATGTATTTGGTTCTCGTATTATTCTTAGTGTTATTGGTATGACTCTTATTACTAAGAAAATTGAACACCGAAAAGCTGTTAATTATCCTACTCTTACACTTCCTGGTGGATCTCTTAGTGATCTTGCTCCATATCTTGTTTGGGCTTTTAAAGCTAACAAAGTGGATTTGCGCGTAGCGCGGTCCTTTTGTTAATTATACTCAAGCATTTCGTACACTGGAACCTAACAAGATTACTAACAATCCTAACTCTTCTCCGCGCGTCAGCGCAGCCTATCTAACCCTATTAAACGGTTTGCTAACTTCGATCTACTTCGACAATATGAACTTGGTGAGTTCTATATTGCTTTTAATCCGGGGCGCTACGCGCGCCCCCTCCATATGGAAGTAATCCTTCATCACGTAAAAGCCCTCTATACGGTAAACCAATTGCAGATAAACCGCGCGTAGCGCTCTAAATAAGTAATATTAATAGGGCTACGCCCCCCCCGCCCTCCTATTTAACTTTACTATTAGTTATAATAGTGATAAGATCAAACATAAATGTTACTAGTTTATTTAAACTATTCCAAACAGAAGCGCGTACGCGCGAAATGAAATTTTCTCCTCATGATTAGGAGAACACAAAGCATAATTGATGACGATCTTGGTTGAAAAAAACAAAATATATACTACTATTTGTTTTTTTATTTATTAATAAAATTGTTTAGTGGGCGGAGCCCCTTTTTATTACGATAATTTACCAATACCATCCAAATTTTATGGCATTGTTTACCTGTATTGTTTAATTGTATGGTAATATTTACTAGTATCAGTAAGTCATTTGAAAATATTTATTGTTTACTAGTAATAAAAATGATTATAAACTAAGTTCCGGTAAATAAAAGTGATTTTAAAAGCGCTACGCCTCTTTTTTTTTATTAAAAAAAAAAGGGGAAAAAAAAGGATTATAAAAAGAAAATGCGCCTATAAAAATCTTCGATTTTTATTTTGTAGCGCGCGCGTACGCGCCTTCGATTTTTATTTTGTAGCGCGCGCGTACGCGCCTTCGATTTTTTATTGGCGCGGGCGGGGAAAAAAGAATTATAAAAGTAGGGGGAAAAATAGGATTTAAAAGTGGTAATAAAAAAAGATTTTTATTTTTTAAAAGGCGCCGCGCGTAGCGCAAAATCTTCGATAGGGTTACACCCGGCGTAGCGCAAAATCTTCGATAGGGTTACACCCGGCGTAGCGCAAAATCTTCGATAGGGGGGCTTCGCCCCCGCGCAAAATCTTCGATTTTTATTTTGTAGCGCGGGGGGCTTCGCCCGCCCTCTTCGATTTTGATTCCCCGCGCAAAAATCTTCGGCGCGCGCGCGTACGCGCGGCGTTATAAAATCGCGCCGCCGTAGGCGCCGAAGGGGCGCTCTGCGCCGATCCCTTCGGCGCCCGCAAATTTCTTTTAAATTTTCTAGGGGGGCGCATTTTATTAGCTACGCTTAGAAAATGAGGGCGCCCAGTAAATTTCCTTTTATTAGGCGCGGGGCGGTAATAATAATCAATAAGAATATGCGCCGCGCGTAGCGCAAAATCTTCGATTTTTATTGGCGCGGGTAGGTAAAATGGTTATAATTAAAACAAAACGGAATTCACGTTATTATTGGAAGAGCTTTGATCGCTGTTGCATTCTTCCGAATGCTTAGCTACCATCTAACAGACCACCATCACCTAGGTTTCGAAGCATCAATCCTATACAGGCACTTTGTTGATGTAGTCTGGCTATTCCTATTTATCTCAGTATACAGGAGGGGTTCTTAATGACTATAATACTAGTCTAATCACAAATCTTTGTGATTAAGAAGTAATACTTCTCTCTCCCCCTTGTTGTATCTCAAATAAAATATGAGAGTGATGAGAGCACAAAGGTTCATTATGATAAAAGAGCCTGATTATACAGGTCGAACCACTACAATTACTACTAATTTTTCCCATCGGGGTATCAAAGTCTTATCCACTAGTTCAAAGTCTTATCCACTAGTTCAAATACCCTCTGATAAGGAAGAAGACCGGTCTCCGACCTCATTACAATTATTATTCCGCTCTAAAGGGCCTACTAGCTAGTAGCGGTGTACGCCTAGAAGATGGACCGGTGGAATCTTGATAGTAAACCGCTACGATTCACTAGCACAAATCTAGATTGGCTAGATTATGTAAGAGGGTAAGTATTTTGAATTTGAAACTACTCCCACTCTTCATAGTAAATGCATAAAAATCTTCGGCTGCGCGTACGCGCCAATCGAAGATTTTTATAACCGCGCATTCCGTAGCGCAAAATCTTCGATAGGGCTACGCCCGGCGCGGTAGTATAAAATATCTAAGTTAAGCTACCAAACAATCTCACGGTCTCACAGGAACGATGATAATATTGAATTTCTACCTAGTTCATATGAGCTTAGTTTTGGTGAAATGAAAATTCTACGTGCTATTACTGAATTTGTACCACGTATTCTTGAACGCCATTCTTTTTTTTTAAGCGCTTTATATAATCTTCGATTATATTAGCGACAAATAGTTTAATTTACTATGACTTACATAAAAATACTGCTATATACTACTATTATATAAGAATAGTAAATATTGAAGTTGTCCTTAATTCAACGGTTAGAATGTGTTTCCGATAAAGACATTATAGAGGTTCGATTCCTCTAGGACAAATTAAAGTTATTATAATAATTAACAGGCGCCTATAAAAATCTTCGATTTTTATTGGCGCGTATCTAATTTTATCGCCCCTTATTTTTCAAAAAATTAGCACCGCCGAAGGCTTTATAGGCCCTGGCCTATACAAAAAGGAGGGGACGAACCGCCTACTGCAAAACAGTTTAACTATTTTTTTTACTTCATTTATATAGGTGTTGAGATAATTGAATCTATTAAAAAAAAGATATATAATTTCGTAGAAATAGTAATATACCATAGGGTAGCGTATATTTACAGAAGAGCATGAATATACATTCATGGAATATTCTAGAAGTGTTTTACTTCTTTATCTATTCTAAATCTGAAAATTTATAGTATTCTGTAAAGAATGCGCTTTATATAATCTTCGATTATATTAGCGACAAAAAGTTTATTAGGCGCTGCGCGCGGATACATAAATAATCCGATTAATAGATAAAATCCTTATCATAATATAAAAAAGAATACTTAAAAAAATACACGCGCCAATAAAAATCGAAGATTTTTATAGGCGCTTCTTTTTATTATATAAAATGAGAGGATTAAAAAAGAAAATAGTTAATGCGACTACTTAAATCACATCCTATTCTAGGTCTAGTTAATAGTTACCTAGTTGATAGTCCACAACCTTCAAATATTTCTTATATGTGGAACTTTGGATCACTACTTGGTGCTTGTCTAATTATCCAAATTCTTACAGGAGTATTTCTAGCTATGCATTATACACCTTCAGTTGATCTAGCATTTATTAGTGTTGAGCATACTTTTTTAAGTCCTATTGATGTGCTCATTAAACTTCGCTATATGCTGGAAAGCCTACTAAGCCTAAAGTACTAATATATCTAAATTAGTTAAAATCTTTATGGATCATAAGGGACAATCAGCAGGGAACTAAATCCTTTATTAAGAGATATTAGGACCCTCAGAGACTACACGCGAGGCTTTTATTTAATTATCAACCGCGCCTGCGCGTAGGCGCCTTTTACGACGTAAATTTTATAAGCGTAGCCGCGCTATGCGCCGAAGATTTTTATAGGCGCACTAAAAAGACAATTGAATGTTAAATAAAAGATGATATAGTCCAAGGTAATGATCACACATCTTAGCGTATCAGGTACAGTGCTTTCACTATATAAAAAAGAGGCGGAATAATAAAGAATTTAAACAGTGGCTGCGCCTATAAAAAATATTCTATATTTTATTGGCGCGGATTTATTGATGCGCCCGGCGGCGGTAAATTTACAGGTTTTTATGGATCGTAAATATGTGCGTGTTATGTTTCGAATTCGACTGCATGTCGATGACGTTGCAATTCTTTACCGAATTAAAGAATGCGCCTATAAAGGAAAAAATATTCTATGGGGCTCCGCCCGGCGCGGGGGCGGAAAAGTAGTTATTGAGAAAGATGCCGCGCGTACGCGCGCGCTCTATTTGTTATTACTAATGCTGGAGATCTTATTAATGTACTATTTCCAATTCTAGATCAGTATAAGCTTCTAACTACGGGCCTTATAAAAATCTTCGGCTGCGCGTACGCGCCAATCGAAGATTTTTATAACCGCGCATTCCGTAGCCCCTATTGAAAAAATTTGCCGGCCCTATCTAGATTATCTAGACTTTGCTAAAGTAGTTAAAAAGCTAGTAACTAATAAAAGTTCTGTATTCACTGGTGAAGATCTAACATGGCTTAAAAATTGTATTAAAAATATGAATGCGCTACGCGCGGCCGAGATGTTATTGACTTTTCTAACGAAGGTGGACGCCCGCGCGTAGCGCACACCTGTGACTCTGCTCTGGCTGCGCTACGCGCGGTTTTATTGAAGGGCGCCTGCGCGGACGCGCTTATAAAAATCGAAGGCGCGTCCGCGCAGCTACGCTTATAAAATTGTAAATTTTATTAGGCGCGGTACGCGCGAGCGCGGATTTAAAAATGCGCCGCCGTAGGCTATAAAAAGCGCTCTGCGCCGATTTTTATTCCGTAGCGCCGAATATTTTTTATAGGCGCGTACCTTACTTTCAAATCGGACAGCATGCTAAGAATACTTATGTTCTTGTTGCCATCAGTAAATTCCTAAGTTCACTATCGAGTGAATTTAAATTAAGCACATTTTCTGAAAAGCTATCACTAAAAGAGAATAGTACGCTTAATAAACGTACTAATGTACTAGTTATTTCGTATAGTAACATTGATTCTCTTCATGATATCCTAGCTCATTGTCTAATTCAGTTTCCATTCCAAACACGAAAAGGAATTGACTTCTATTACTGGTGTATTGTACTGTATATGCACAAATTTGGTTATATTTATCTGACGCGCCAATAAAATTTCATTTTTTTATTGCGCTACGGAATGCGCGGTTATAAAAATCTTCGATGGCGCGTACGCGCTTATAAAAATCTTAGATTTTTATTAGCGCCTATAAAAAATATTCTATTTTTGCCTACGGCGGCGCATTTTTATAGCCTCTTTTTTTTTATTAAAAAAAAAGAAAGGCGCGGGCGAAAACTAGCAGTAGCTATCGCTGCTTTCGTTAATAAATCACGATACAGTACATCACCTAAACAAGTTGATACACCTATTATTGATATAACACTATTCAATCAATCTCTACCGCCCCCCGCGCTATGCGCAAAATCGAAGGCGCTACGCGCGCCTATCGGCGGCCCCCGCGCGTAGCGCACTCCTGAAATGACTCATCTGGAACTAGCACAAAGCTTTGCTAAAACTTATAAAACACGGTTTATGACAATGGGCGGAGCCCGTACTAGTAAAAGGTAGTCCTTTTATGAGTAATGCTGATGCTGCCGCTAGTGTTGGACTAAATCGTACCACACGAGCTGTAGCACGATATCTTGATACTGGTAAGTCATATCAAGAACGATATCAGTTTATAACAAAAGCTAAGTAAATATTCTTGGGCTCCGCCGCCGTAAGGCCTCTACGATTTTTGCGGGCGCGCGTACGCGCACTCTGTCTTTTATGTGGAATAATTAAAATAGTATTTTTATGTGTGTATCATTCTTTGATTATGCGAGATGTTAACTACGGATGGCTAATTCGATACCTACACGCTAACACAGCATCATTCTTCTTTATCTTTGTATACCTTCACATTGGACGAGGACTATACTATGGATCATACAAATCACCACGAACACTACTATGGTCAATTGGAGTAATTATTCTAGTTCTAATGATGGCTATTGCTTTCCTTGGTTTTAACGGCCAAAAATGGATGTATTTTTATAATATCGATATAACTAATGTTCAATATTTTTCTAACGAAGGTGAACGCTACTCTTCTTATTCCGAGTACACGTCTACAATCTATTCTAGATAAACACAATATTAAACCGCGCTAATAAAAATCGGCGCCTGCGCCAATAAAAATAGAATATTTTTATAAGCGCCATATTCTATAGGGCTACGGAATGCGGTTATAAAAATCTTCGATTTTTATTAGCCGTAGATTTTTATAGGCGCTTTTTATAACTAGCGCCTTTTACAATTCAATTTTATAAGCGTAGCCTGCGCCTATAAAGGAAAAAATATTCTATTTTTTATTGGCGCCGATTTTTATAACGGCGTAGCCGCGCAAAAATAAAAAAAAAGAGGCGGAGCGCAAAGATAGGGGCTACGGAATGCGGTTATAAAAATCTTCTGCGCGTCCGCGCAGCCGAAGATTTTTATAAGGCGCCTTCTATTTGAAGACCTTACACATCCTGAAACTAAAAAGATTGCTTATCGATCTCTTAAACCTTTTGCGCTACGCGCGGTATTTATATGATTGTTAATCTAGTTACAGGTGAGTATTATGTAGGTAGTGCTGTTACAGGTAATCTTTATATGCGTTTTCATAAGCATCTATTTTCTTTTACAGGAAATAAACGAGTTGCAAATGCTGTAAACAAATATGGACTATCTGTATTTGCATTCCTAGTTCTAGAAATTGTACCACAAGAAAATAAAACAGATAGTACACTACTTCTTAATCGAGAGGATTACTATCTACAGACTCTAAAGCCACATTACAATATTGCACCTCTTGCTAGTAATAGGCGCCTGCGCCTGCGCGGACGCGCCTACAATTTTATAAGCGTAGCCCTGCGCGGACGCGCCTTATTTTTATAAGCGCTTATAAAAATCGAAGGCTGCGCGTACGCGCCATCGAAGATTTTTATAACCGCGCAGCTACGCTTAGAAAATTGACTTGTAAAAGGCGCCTACGCGCTTATAAAAATCGAAGCGAATATTTTTATTAGCGGATGAAAACATTCAGAAGAATCTCTTGCAAAGATGCGTGAAAACTATTCTGAAGAACGACGAGAACGGGTTGCAAGTATTAACAAAGGAAAAACACTTTCTCAAGAAACACGTGAACTTATCCGTAAAGCAGCACTACTGCGAGAACCTATGTCTATAGAATCACGAATGAAATGTGCGACTAATATGCGACATGTAACTATTACAAATCTGGATGGTTCTAATCCTATTAATTTTGTAAGTATTAAGGAAGCAAGTATTGCAATTTCATGCGATGAAAAGACTATTCGACGTGCTCTAAATGGAGGGCGGTGTTATTAAAAAAACAAATGAAATTAAATTTTCTCGTTAAAATAACAAAAGATATTCTTGAATAAATAGTTATATTAATATACTGCAAAGTTTTATATATTAATACATTTATAGTCCTATTGTATTCCCCTTTTAAATCTGTATAGAGAATAGGGTAAATAACGATAGAATACCTCGACAGGGGTATTGGAGATAATAATTAAATTATCTCTGGCAATGCGAGTGAAAACGGTCAACGGAAGTTATCACCTTTCAAGACCGTCGGTTGTATATACGATCGCTACAGACTGGGTCACTTGTGGGTACCTGAAATGGTGCTTAATGTACAGTCGGACATCTAAAGTATAAGACTCCTACTTTTCAAGGCCTAAGATGATATAAATAATAGTGCGCCTATAAA